AAAAATTTGTATTTAGTTGATTCAACTACATAATTTGGTAATTGAAATTAAATTATTTGATAATATTAATCGAATATTTGATAATTATTGTAAAATTGTATGCAAAAGATTTACTAATTGACTTGAAGAGAATTACCAGGTTGTTTGGTAATTATTACTAAATAGTTTTGTAATTGTTAGCAAACATTTGATATCGACGCGGCGATGTCGCGTTGCATTTGTTTCAACAAGTTTGTGCCTGTCCGATTTCAATCTCCTCTCCAGTCGTTTAGAGAGTTATACAGACGTCGTTTCGCAAGTTGTGATAGTGATTGAGATTATTAAAATGTGTGAGTTGGAAAATCTATTGTTACTGTGGGGACTTTCGGATGTAAGTGTTGTACTAAAAGGTATGTAAAACTCATCTTTTTCTTTACTAAAAGTATGACTCTGCATGATCCGTAATGTCTAACTTTCATCGAAAAATGGATATCGATTTTTCCGTGCACTGCGTTAGGATCTATCCAGACCCAAATTTGCATAGCTGCATAACAAAATTATCAAAATATTAATCGAATATTTGATAATTATTGTAAAATTGTATACAAAAGATTTACTAACTGACTTGAAGAGAATTACCAGATTGTTTGGTAATTATTACTAAATAATTTTGTAATTGTTAGCAAATATATGATATTGTCGTTTGTATTGTGCGCAGCGTCATATCAACGCGGCGATATGCATAAAGAAAATCATCTAATCGCATTTTACTTGTAATGAAAATGTTATTGGATAATTTTCTTTATGCATATAATTATGAACTATGCAAGTTTGTCTAGATAAATCCGTATATTCAAATAAAAATTTACGATTCCGGTTCAGTTCATTTATAGTTCAAATGATCGCAAAATATGTTTTTTTAATTATAGTTGCATATATACGTAATTATTTATAAAATATGCCTATTCTTCTATTCTTTTGCATAAAATATTCCTGTTATTTGTGTTATACAGAAAATGGGATTGAAAGTATAGATCATTTGGATGATCTTTTAAAAGAATGTAATTCACATGAATTAGAAGAATTGATTCCCGCTGTTGTAAATCGAATAAAACTTCGTAGAAAGTTCAATGATTATGTAGGTTTTGTATTCTTTAAGAGTAAAATATTCTAAAAATTTTTATTTATGTGATTTATATTACAATAATATTGTTTTCCAGAAAAATGACACAATTTCTGATGTCATAAGTTGTCCAAGTAGTTCGAATTCAGTCGTTGATTCAATTGGAAACGAACACATAATTATTGATTTAAAAGATATCTCACAACCAGATGATCAAGAAAATTTAACATTCGATCAGATTTACGAACCACCCCCCAAAAAAATAAAGATTGATAATAAAGAATTTAATTTGAAAGAAAT